GGACGGCGGTGATGTCAGCCTTTATTTTTACGAGGACATCAACCAGCTGGGCAGCGGCACCTTCCCAATTAAGGGACCGGACATTCCAGATGCATGCCCTCAATTCGTAGTCCTTATTTCATTTGCCATAGTCGTCATCAAAAGTGGGGCCTCTCATCCGAGGCTGTTATTGCGTTTTTATTGGGGGCGTCTTTTTACGTGGCGGGTTCCAAACACAACGCACAATTCTATGCAGGGGATGTTTCGCCTTCTCACTTTAGTTCGCGTTCAAACGGATGTTCTTAGGCTACTCAGAGGATACTTGGTTAAGGACCGGAGGTCGTGAGCTGCTTGAGTCATACTCCCAAGTGAATGGCGATCAGAAAACTTTCCTCACTTGCGTGAACTTCTACATATGACTCCATCCTCCATTGCACCACGATAATGCACCGTTACATACTGCATCGATTCTTCGTGAGTGTTTCGCTAAATTTTCAACTAATATTGTGCCGCAACCACCGTATTCGCCTAATTTAACTTCGTGTGGCTTCTGTCTATTCAGCAAAATTAAACGACCGCCCCGAGGAAACCCTTTTGAGTCCCTTGAAGACATTCATTCAATGTGAATCGCTACGCGCGGAAATTGACTTTAACAGCTCTTTCAAGGATTGTAAAAAACGTTGGGACAAGTGTAGTAGGACCAACGGGGATTGTTTTGAGGGGAAGACATAGATTTTGTAGAATAAATTATGAATATTAAAATTATGAATGCAGTCTTACTATTTTTTGCTTATAGTAGTTCGTATAATAATATTATTATTTTAGTTAGCAAAGAGCCTTTTGCATATTGAGTACCAAAGTCGTTTGCTCACTTGTATATGCGTATATTTGCATGGCCTTGCGCTGTCATCCCACGTCATTTCAAGTTTGCGCTTTATGCCAAAGTTTGTATTTGTGCTTCACCCGTTTTCCCACCCGGAAGTGCTTTAATGCGCAAAAAATAATTTATCTCCCACAGTATATTTAACCCTACAAACATTGTTTGTGAAATTAAAAAGTGTGCGATGCTCATAGTTTTTGTAATTCACATTTATATGTACATATATATTGTATACATTAGGGTTGGCAAAAACAAACTTTTTATTATTTTTCCTTAGGTACCGTGAACGGCATTTGTGAGAATATAATTTTGTTTGGCTCACACATGTACTTAAAACAATATTTGAAATATTGTGTATGAGCGTATTATGCGTGTCCATTTTGATATAAAACATATGCTCCTGTTCGTGTTTTAAAATTTTCATACTTTTGCAACATGTTGCTGTAGTGTATAATAGTTTTGTTCGTCTAAAGGTTGTTTGTAACCTAATAATAATCGTATCTAGATATAGAGCTATAGTATGAATATTTATATTTATAAATGATCAGCATAAAGTGACGAGTGCAGGTTGTAACGTGAGCAAAAGTTGATATATCATAATGAAACTTGATACACGTGTTTCATAGCAATATACTTATTTTTGAGTTGATCCATGCTTCAGATTATAATAGTTTTGTTCACCTTACGGTTGTATGTATCCCGTAAAACTAATCGACATAGATATAAAGTAATATCTATGACAGGGATGACGCCTGTCCATTTGTGATCTTGGTATATAAATATGTTCCTTGGTAAAAAAGTAAAGACAAGTTTGTAGATGGACGTAATCGAACTATTGTCAGGCCTATAAAATGCCGTTAAAAGAAATCGGTTAAAGTACAATAACTTAGCCCTCAATTAAGACATAGAACAGCAATTTGGTACAAAAGATTGTAGTAGTAGGGCATTCATATACATATCTAATTTGTAGTGATATAATATTATATATAATAATATAATCGATATTTTTTATACATTTGACTATTGGCATGCTAATCATTTCTTTCTTCTTCATATTGTAAAATTTGTTTAGATAGTTAGAAATATTTATATTCGAAGGCATACATATATTAGTTGAAGTTAATGTTTGGTCRTTTCTTACCCTGAGCAGGGCTTATTAAGTTTCCTAGAAGGAAATGTCGTAGACTACTGTAAGCTGCCATACAGACTGATCGATCAAATTAAGTAGTTATGTATTTGTAGGGAAAACTTTCTTTTTTGACGAGGTATCTTCACGAAATGTTACATGGATTATTGTGAAAGAATCTCCGAACAAATTGTTCAGAACAGATCACTATATATATATGTAGCTGCCATACAAACTGACTATCTAAATAAAGTCTATTTGAGCTCATTTCTCTTATTTGAAATATTATCTTGTCGAAATTTGGGGTATGTTCACAGAAACAATTTGAAAATATTTCCAAGGAAAACCAATTATTATTTAAAATTTGTTTAGGTAAATATATACATAAATATATAAATGCATAAATAATAGTGCTTAAAGTATCTTTTAAGCACTGCYTTTGAAACTGACTGATCAACGTCAAGTACTTATGATAAAAATTATTTTATTTGACAAGATATCTTCCCGAAATACAGCATGGATTATTGTCCACTTATAGTCTTCCAACATATCAGACCACTATAATATATTCTAACCGACAGACAAAGCCAATGCTAATATCTCTGAAAAAATGTATCCATCAAACGATTGGACTCAGTAAACATACAAAAGTCTAAAATTYCCRTTATTTTTTTAACATATCACTATACGAGTAAAAATAGAGATAAAGATATTCATAAAAGAAATCTTTTTCTAAGCTTTATTATACACTTCATGTACACTTATGTATATTAATATATGTAGGAATGTTACTTATGCTGTTTCCTGAATACCTAAATATTAATCAAATAAGACTTTCTAGAAATAATAAAGTAATTTGTGTCTAAGGATTGGAAAATATTATAAAGCTTTTATACTATAAGTATATATATTTATGAGCTCTTACAAATAGTGAGAGTATAAATAATGAATTAATAATAGCATCATAAGCTTTTGAAATATTTTATTTTTAGTCACTATCATGTTCGAAGGCAACATGTATGAGCAGTGTTATGGCGCTAGGGACGGCCCCAGTTGAAGCAAGAAAGTCTGATATAGTTATGGAACATGCTAAAGACTTTTTGGATCAATACTTTACATCAATAAAAAGGTAGGTAATTAAGATTGTAAACTTTAATTTTAAATCGTGTTATGTTGGAAATTATTAAAAGTCTGAAGACAGTTCATCCAGCAATGTAGGAGAGGTAAAAAGTTTATTGAGRGTTAGGTGATTTGGATAAAAATCTGCCCTTAGGATTAGATGATAGAGTTTAAAAGTCAGTGAAGTCCGACTACAACCATTTTTAATTCTTATATAAGGCCGTTTTATATGAAATAGATATAAAATAGCTAATTTGAAATTCGGGTTATACCGTGTATAGTCGGCCCCTATTTAATGGGTATGAAGACATCTTTGTTTTCAGTTGAAATCAAAGGACAATGAGTAGCTCTTGAGAATACTCTAGTTTTGTGCTAAAAATTAAAGAATTTTTTTTCTCATTTTTTCATAGGCCTTGGTCACAATATAAAGATTGTCCATCATCCAGTTGATTTCATATGTATCGGTAACTGGGTTATTATCTCATTAAAGTTTGGAGATATGTTTTTTAAATAAAATGTGAATATCTGTCATTTTACTATAGACAGAGACATATTTCAGACTACTATATACTACATACTTGTATATAGTAAATAAAATAAAGAGAAATTGTTTTGATTTTGTAATATTTGTTTTTCCATGTTTAAACCTTTACTTACATTACTAAAATTAAAAAATTAGTCAAAATAGCAAATACCTTCATAATGTCAGTTTGGTTTTAAAAAAATAAGAGAAAACTGAGAGAAAATTATAGAAAACATAATTAATACTTCAATTAATTAGCGTTGGTTTTTCATAATTTTCCAGTTGACATTCTCTTTTTAAGGCCATTTCGCAGACTGAAAATTTATTCATTTTTAGTGCTAATAAAACTATAATTGAAAAAAYTATAACATGCACAAAAATCTTAAAAAGAAGAGCGCTTTCAATACTTTCATGAATAAATTCATGATCTTTGAGCATTTGAATACGGTAACCTTTGCCTCGGATATGGGCAGCAAACTTTTCTTATTCAAAAKAGTTGTTAAAGAAAACAAGTAAGAAAGGGATATGTTCGGGTGCAAACGAATATTTTATACTCTTGCTACTTACAAGAACCGAAGCCAGGGCAATACCTTAAGATTTAAAATGCCATATAGATATACTAGAATTAACCCTTACACTGACCGACAAATTCGGCATAAGATTTGTTAGGAAAACGAAAATTATGCGGGGGTATCGATCCGATTTTATGAATTAATTATTATTATGCCACAAATTAAAAAAATTTTGCCTGGTTTTGTTGCCTTGATTGTTCGAACATTTTTTTGTCCAATTTTATATATGTATGTATTTAAGGCACAAAAATGCACTGTTATGAGCTAAACATGGTCTATAATTTTCGAAAATCTTTACATTAGGTGTATGGGGGCTCAGGGAAGTATTGCACCGACTCAATCCATTTCTAAAACCATTGTCAGAACTATAATTGAATCTGAAGTTAATGATTTGACTGTGAAGGTTACATACTTTAAGAAAATTATTAGTGCGAAATGCTTTCCCGTTATATTATTTACTTCTTGATTTGTGTACTAGATTGTGAAAGAATCAAATGGATTTTTAAATTGTGTTATATGAGAAGTAGACGTGTTTGTAGTCGAATTCGTCCATTTTCGCGCTTTAAAATTTAGTTGAAATCGGTCGAAATATGTGATTTCGTCAAAAAATGGGCGATGAGCATGTTCAATTTTCACCATTCATACCATTTTGAAAGTGAAATTTAATCTGTCTGGGGTATTCAGTTATTGACTTTTTGTGCCTTTAGCACTTTTGAACAGTAACGTTATATGGGGAGTGGTCGTCATTATCTTGCGATTTCACTCATTTTCACATTGTCGCTATAAGTTCTTGTACTATAATATTTGTGCTGATTTGGTTGCTGTGGCTTCAGTTGTTTAGGAGGTACACACATAAATTTATTGGAGGGCGGGGCGCCATCCACTATTTCAAAAACATTTACCCACAGGTCCGATTATGCCAATCTACGAACTCGTAGAACCCACATACCAAGTTTTATCATGTTATCTCAATTTTTACTTAAGTTACAGCTTGTAGTACTCTTCTCGTCATCCCCATCATTTATACAAATGTATATACATAACCCTATATGTGTCTCGCTTCGGTTTAGGTGATAGTTGGGTAAAAAAACTATTTAAAAATAGGTTTTAAAGGCAAAAAAAAAGGAGATATTTGTTTTTGTTTTGGGGCAACATCAGTAATAAAATTTTTATTAAATTTAATGACATACTATTGTGCAACTTTTGAAATATATTAGAAAAAAATTTCAATGAAAAATATTAATAAATAAGCCTGTGACGGTGAATCTAGAGAAGCGACTTAAAAAACTCGTTATATATAACTCGTTACCGAATCATTTGAAACAGAAAAATTGATATGCGTTTTAAAGGTGATGTATTTCTTAAGTTAAAAAAAAAAATTTTTTTTCTATTTTTTGCAGCACTTGGTAGTAAAAAGCGCGATTTTAGCTCAAAAAATCGCGATTAATTTGTTAATAAAAAATAGAGAATAATGGAAAAACCCCTTATGTGAAGAAGTAATGTTCAAATTTTCAAAAGGATCGGTTCAGTAGGCTTTGAGTTCTAATGTTCACGAACTTCAAAGATAGCGGTTTTCGGGAAAAGCGATTTGAAGTTTTTATAAATAATAATTTTTATACTTTGTAAGTCAGGCATCACCGCATGTCGTTTAAAACGCTGTAACTCCGTTAGTTTGACTATAGTTCAAAATTTGTACACAATATTCTCGACATATTGGTCGTTTAGAAAAAAGATTTAAACCTTAGAACAGACACCACAGCATCACCACCCCCGCCCCCTTAACGAAATATGCATGCAGATTTTAAATTTTTTTATCATGATGATTCTATTAATCATAAAATTGTTTTCCATTTAACCTTTTTAGAGCTTCAAGCGTCGCTCACGACACTCGTTGGAAACAAGTGCGTCAAAATATCGAATCTAGTGGGTCTTATCAACTTACAGAAACCGAATTGATTTATGGTGCAAAATTGGCTTGGCGGAATTCATCGCGCTGCATTGGACGCATACAATGGTCCAAATTACAGGTGACATATTATATTAGGTAGTCGAAAAGTATTTTTTAATTCTAATAAAATTTTTACATATTTCTTTATATTTATAATAATAAATAAATAAAAAAATATGTATCATTTTGGTCGACAATTTTTGAATAGCTTCCTTGGATTTTATTTTTCCGTTGAATGAAGCTTAAAATCTCACCCTTCCGACACTATGTGTATGGTAGGACACAAAGTGACTGGTACACTGAAGATATATGACTGCAACGACATCTATTGACAAAATACGAAAAGTTTTTTTCGACTACCCAATATATTACGTTATAGATATTAAATWAGTATGAATATAGCCTATAACATCATTCAGGATTTATGTATGTGTTTAGGTTAGTTTAAATTCCTCTTGATACAAATTGAAGGCCAGTGGGATTAGTCGAAGTCAGCAATGGATCTGAAAGATTAATATCAATAAGCTGATATTTCAATAACCAAAGCTGGCGGATGAAGTCATGTATAGAAGTGCAGGATGGAGTCATGTGTAGAAGTTCACGCAAGTGAGGAAAGTTCTCTGATCGCCATTCACTTGGGAGTGGCCAGAAACTATTGCTTTACATATGGCTGAAGCAGCTCACGACTTTCAGTCTAAAAGGACGATGTGCCCAAAAATGCCTTCTATGAGCACTTGGAGMGCACCTATGAGACCTGGGCAAAGAAGGTATCTTTGGCACCACGACGAAACATCCCCAAATGGATCGAGGCTGAACGACTTCGCCGGGGGCCGAAATAAGGTTATATCTGTAGTATTAGATTCCAACATAAGAAAGTTCATCACGCCACCTGGCTGTCTCCGAATCGAAAAACCACCAACCAGATCGATTATGTTGTGATAGACGGAAGACTCGTCTCCACTTTTAGATGTGCGTGCGCACCGAGGTCTTAACATCGACTCTACTTTCTTGCAGTCAAGATTCGTACCCGCCTCTGTGCAGCAAAAAACGCACGTCAACAAACACAAGGAAAGTTCTACGTTAAGAATCACAACAGATAGCAGAACGATTTTCTACTCTGCTTGCACTCATGCTATCTGAGAGCACTCGTCAACAGCTCGGTATAAGAAAATTGTGGAACGGCAACTCAAGCTCCTTACTTACAACTGCAACCGAAACCATTGGGTTTTGGAAAGATGAGGCGCCTAACAGAAGGTTTCCAGACAGGAGCATACTCTCGTAGAACCCCCAAAGTGATCTAGTGATCGATGCCGTAAGCATACTAAATTTATKTAGGGAAGACTTCTCCAGTCTGCTGAATGGAAGTGAAATTACAACGCCAGGAGAAGGCGAATCCGATTATCCAATCTATGACGATGAACAGACGGTCCTTTGCTTGACTTTGAGGAAGATCGAATAGAAATTACGCGTCTGAAGAACAACAAGGCGGTTGGGCCGATGGATTGCCGGCTAAGCTATATCAGCTTCTTTGTAAAATATGGTCGGACGAAAGCATGCCCAACGATTAGAATCTAAGTGTACTCTGCCCAATCCACAAAAAGGGAGACCTCACAATCTGTGCCAACTACCTTCGGATAAGCCTCCTCAACATCGCGTATAAGGTTCTATCTAGCATATTTTGGGGAAGATTAAAGCCCAACGTCAACAAAGTAATTGGACCTTATCAGTGTGGCTTTGTACCTGGCAAATCTACCCGTTAAAGGAAAAGCGACACACACCGCCTCGCCGTTGATTTCAAAGCTGCTTTCACAGCACGAAAAGAAGCTGCCTTTATGCCGCAATATCTGAATTTGGTATCCCCGCAAAACTAATAGGGCTGTGTAAACTCTCTCATTCTCTGCGTGCGGTTCGATACCAATTGAGGTTTTAGACAAGTAGCCTGTCGTATCGATTGTTGATCATGTCGAGCCGTGCTTTTCTTTCTCTCTCTATCAAATTGATTCCTAACGCTTTTTGATACTCTTGCTACAGTGTATTATAGTTTTGTTCACTTAACGATTAGACGTGTCACATAAAACTAATCGCGATAGATACAGGGTTGTACCATATATATATATAAATGATCAGGATGATGAGAAAAGTTGAAATTCGGTTGACTGTCTGTCCGTCAGCCCGCCCGTCCCTGCAAGCTGTAGCTTGAGTAAACATTTAAATATTGATRAAACTTGGTACACGGGTTGCTTCCTATAAGAAAAAGTTCGAGTTCGTAGATAGGCGAAATCGAAGAGTATAAGTATTTATAGGAGCCAGTGTGAAAATTGGAACATGGGCGCGGCACCGCTCGCTTTTTGGTGAAATCCCATATCTCGATACCCGACCAAACCGATTTTCACAAAATTTAATAAGTTGCATTCTTTTTACATTCTTATGTCACATTGTGAAAATGGACGAAATCGAACAACAACCACGCCTACTGTCCATAGAGCACAATTTTAAATTCCACTTGATTCGTTCAGTTTGAAGTACACAAAAAGAATCAATTAGTATAACAGGATAAAACTTTGCTCGAAGAATGGCTCTGGTGAGTGCCACCTTATGACTAAAAAGTGTTAAAATCCAATAAAAATACTTCAGGATCCTGGGTACCGAATATTTAGACCCCTGTAATTGTAATTGACTTTAATTAAGGGATAATCCTTCTTTTATAATGGTATGTCTGTATGTCAAAAATGGGTTGAATCCGACTAATACTTCTCTTAGCCCCCATATARTTAATATAAAGATATTCGAATTTATGGGTGACTTTGTWCCGAATATATCGGCCAATATGTGAGTTATCCCAATGAAAATAAGAGAGCGTGTTTTACTCATAGCAGACTATGTTTGTGCCTAAAATAGTTAAGTTTGAGAGAAAACTTGGTCTAGCCTCTATAAAACTAATATCAGGACATTCGAACATCCGGATGATGAGGTTATACACCTTAAACTATTTCCCTGCCCTTGAAGCTTGCAAGTTGCAAGAGTATAAAATATTCGGTTGCACCCGGACTTAGCCCTTCCTTACTTGTTTAATTTTACTCTAATTATTTTTAATACAGATTTAGATTTCCAATAAGGTTAAGTTAAAAATTTGCACTAGTATAAAGCCTTATGATAACAGTGAATGAAATGTCCTTGCGTAACATAATGCCTTCAAAATAGTAAGTTAAGTAACATCTTAAAGTTATTATTATTTTCTCATAAATTATTGGAGATAAACCGATAAAAAACTTATCCTCTTTTATTAAATTATATACGTATCTAATTATTTTTTCTTTATTCATGTCTCTCGTTGCTTGATTGTGTATTAGGGTGGGTCGATTCCGGACTTTTTTCGATTCGGTATTTCTAATAGTGCGTAACAGTTGGCTTAGTACTTCCTGATTCCAATGCAACTTTTTGTTTTGAGATCGAAATACGCATCTCATGGCTAAATGTATAAAACAAAAGTTATTTGTCACGTCATTTGCTACCGAAATGCTATATGTGATCGTGGCCGTAGGACGAACCGTTCCCGAGATACGAGCGAAAATGGGGCGAGCCACAGCGCAAGGTGAAAATCGGCTTGCGGCCACGCTTCTTGACGTTGATTTCGCCGAGTGCATTCATTCACCTACGCCAAAGGACAATTTCGGATAGGTATCCACACACATTTTTTTTCATCGAGTTCCTTCACTCTTGTCGTTGATTTCGCCGARTGCTATCACTTATATTCTCTCAACAGAACACAGAATTCAAAATGTCTAAATTTAAATTTAAACAGAAATATCCTGTCCTTGGCATCCGTACAATCTCTATGAGTCCYAGTTACCTACTTACCAGAATGTTCTTTTGTGTTATCAGTTTGAAAGATTTCGTATAGGGCGACTCCGAGGCGACAACTATGAACCTAGGAGTAAAGAGGTTACAGAAATAGTTGCAAAAAAAGTTGAAAATACTTTTAAAAAGTCATCTATTCGATAGTTCCACACACCAGAGTTGTACAAATGCTCACCACATACCATAAGAAATTTCTGACTCTTAAACAAATGTTTTTAAGGAACCTAATAGGTTTGAGCTCTAAGAGAGACGACTTCGTCTCTTCTGCCGGAAAATCATTTGACATCGCTGCTTGTAAATGCATTTATTTTTCTTCTTGCACTTGTCCAAAGGAAAGTTCCTATCAATGAGCAGCCATTTCTCTTGGACCAGAGAACCAGAGGAATTGGCCGCGTTGGAAGTGTTGATCTACCTGAAACAAAAAAGATTACAAAGAAAAATGAACGTAAAGAAAAGCTTTCAAAACGTCATTCAACATCAACACTTACCAGAAAAGTATCAGCTAGAACACATGACCATTCAGATCAGCCTCACACAGACGATAAAAATGTAGGTGCGTCGCAATGGATTCTTCCAAAAACGATACTGATGATGAATTTTCTCTTCCATCCTCTAAAAYCAAACAAAACACACTAGTATTAGAACACACTGCTTTAGCTGCCCAAAGATTTGGAGTAAGTGATAGAGTAGCGGCCTTGATTGTTTCATCTGCTTTTCTGAATGCCAAAAAAGCAGGTTTGGTTACAGAGGATCAGGCTAGCTTTGTCACTGACAAATGCAAGATTAGTCGGGCAAAAAAAAGTGTTGGAGTTAAGTTCCAAAACACCGAAAGTATTGACTCTGTATATRGGCTGTATTTTGTCGGCCGCAAAGACAATACACTTACACAAGTCAGCGAAGGCGAAAATTACTACCGCGACGTGGTTGTCATTACTTTGGCCACGTCACCTCTCCTTCCGGGTCAGCTGAGGATGAGACGCAAGCTATATGGCAACATTTACAAGACAATTCTGTTGATGTGGAACATCTAGAAGTTGTCGGTGCTGATGGCACCAACACGAACACAGGTTGAAAAGGTAGAATCATTCRRAAACTAGAAGAAAGATTAGGTAGGCCATTACAGTGGGTTCTTTTTCTTCTACGTTTCAACGAACTTCCATTTCGTGCTCTTTTCGAACACATAGATTTTGTCTCAAAGAGTCCAAATACATTCTCTGGCGA